GTCTCAGTTGGTTAAACGAGGAAATATATAAGCTCGTTTGGGGTAACATGTAAACGAAATAATTCTTACGAACAATTGGTAAGGAAAACAATTTAGGTTACACGTTAATTACGTTTAGAGATATAGGCAACAACATCTTATAATATTAAATGCGACTAATTTTCAATATACTGTAGCTATTTTAATACTACGAACTTGTAATTGATTATTTATTTGTAAAGTAAATCAAATATATTATGTTAATTACTTGAAAAGAAAGGATCCAATTATAGTAATTGAACTTTATATGCACATGAACATGCTCAATATTTAACTTTGTGATTTTTATTGGGCTATATTTGATCAAATCAACTAATAATTATAGTATGTTCATGATTGATAATTTTTAAATCCCCCACAAGATGAGGCCGTAGAGTCAGGCTCAAAATTCGCTTCTACAGTTTACTCGACTGATTATAAAGGTAAACATCATAAATATCCTTTTTTCAATGCACCTTGTTGGTTAATAAAAGAAATCAAGAATTTCAAGAGTTAGATATGAAAGTAAAAATTCGTTTATCCGCTGAAATAAATTGTAGCGAGTTTTGCAAAACATTACGTTGCTTCAGAACGACAAATGGTATTGTAGAATTGAGAGGTAAGAGGAAACGAAAAGAGAGAGAGACAAAGAAGAAGATTTAGGGTTAAGAGGAATGCGGCCAAGGGATGACTTCCGGTTACGAGATCGAGCACGGGAATGGCGGGAAAACTGACCTGACTACAGTGACTACATAACTTGCGTCGATGCACCGTCAACATAATGCGATTTTCCTGGATTCTTTCTCGCGTCTACGCTCAGATATTCCTGTAGACTTGTTACATAAACACCTGTAAGCTTTTTACAATTTTTACTCAATACTTCATAGTTATATAATTCTCCATGTAAACAACATCTACAAGACGCATACAATTTCAAAGTTCTACACGCTTTATAACATTGTCTCGGAAATACGCATTAATACTATATTTTAATTAATCTATTAATGTTCGAAAAAACGTCCTGCCAAGCGCACCATGTTTTAAGGATCATCTTTGATAGTGTAATATATATTTAGAATGATCCACAACAGTGAAATGATTCACGATTCGATAATACCAAAAAAAATTGATACATGCAAATGCCATCGGGGTATTTTCAGCGGTTGCAGAATTATCTTTTCGCTTCCGCGAAAAGAAAACTGCCTGGAGGTGCTTCTAGAATCCAGGCCGGAAGTGCACAAGAGTCGCAGCTTTCGAAGACGGTCGTAAAACGCCCCACGAGTTCCTCGATGTTTCCATATCCCCACTCCGTGTACCATCTACGTCTAGTTCCCATTCCGCTGTTAGATGAGAAAGTCTAGTAATCAGATCTAGAGGAAAGTCTAAAGCATCCTGAGACGATGACAATAAGAAAAACAGAAGAAAAACCACAAAAACAAGAAAGAAAATCAATTAAAAAGGATCATCAGCTATCCGTATTTAATTAATATGTCCTCTGTGTTCGCGCAATAAAACAGGGGAATTTACTTACGGGACGCCGTAAAGCACAACTAGCTAAGAATTACAAATGGTTTTCAAAGGCGGCGCGGGTAGAATCGTTTGAGCGACGGGCATCGCGCTCTCAGCCACACGCAACGCTCATAATGTTCGAATAAGTCTTTTGCTTACGTCTCCGCGGCCTCGTCCAGAGAGCAAGGACATTCATTGGCTACAATTCATCTGTCGCGCGATGCCCAGCCAATCGTCAACCGGACTGGCTCTTTACTTCCGACGCGCGAAGCCACGCGTTCGTCTGTCCTCGTGTACTGTTCTTTGTGTCGCAGCACAGGTATTACGCGTATATTATTAGCCGGGTACGGCTGTGCCCGCGGAGTAGCGGGTTTAAACGGCCGGTACGCGCTTGTTTCCGCGGTCAGAATCATTGGCGCCTCCCCGTGCCGACAATAATCCACCGGTTAAAATTTATACACCGTCACTTTGCCTCCTACGCTAACTTCACTTTATCCCGCACTCGTCCCTGCATACGTACGTAGAATTCGTGATATTCAGATTATTTCAAATAAAAACACTAACAAACATGGACTAGTTCGGGTGACGTTCGTAAATTCTCAATTTTTCGAACTGCAATAGAACCGTGAAAGTATGGATCCCAGAGAGGTACACAGATGCAATGGTGTTAAATGATGTTTTACTCTCGTCGCGATAAGCAGTTCGGTCTCCCTGAAAACAACGAGCTCTGCATGACCGACCCGGTTGTCGATCGGTCAGCGCGAACGGGAACGGATTTCTCGAACGCTTAACTTCGCCTCCGAAGGCTGTGTGCCGGGATCCCCGTGAGGTGGACTGGCTCGATCGAAGTTCGAATCGTGAGCTCAGGGTATTATACTTTCACGCGACGGCAAGAAGTTGAAGTTCTTTCCATTAAAAAACACCACCAGGGAACGACCATGCGAGCATACTTATGTCAAACAATGAAGAGAGAAAGACAGTGTCGATTCGTCGTTGCGATGGAAAGAAGAAAATGTTTCCACCGCACCTTCACGGAGAAAACGTCTTCGGTTAGAACTGCTTCGCCCGTCGGCTGTGGCCGCCGCCGCGCGATACGCCGTACGCTCCTCTCTCAGAGCCTCGAGCGCGCTCTCCCCTCGGGCTGCCTACGGAATGTCGCGCAAAATTCATTAAATTAGCCGACGTGCCGCGGTGTAACGATCACCGGTCGATGCACCGATTTGAGCAGTGTCGTTTCACGATCGAAGCGTTCCGATGATGCGGCCCGTTTACCCAATACCGAATAAAAATGTTCGCGGTGAATTTTCTTAGGCTGCTTGCCGTATGGTAGGTGGCGCGCCGGCATCCGTGCGCGGCGTTGTCTGCTGCTTCGTTGCTGGCTTGCGAGAGCCGAGGCCTTCGGCCGCTCTTACGCTGTTCGCCGTATACAGGCTGACAGTCAGTGGCGGGTTTCGAAGCTAACGGCGTTGGGCAGACTCCCTCGTACTCCGGGGGCCCCAGTGTCTACAAGTTCCCTGTTTCACAGCCTCGAAATCGAAATCGCGTTACAACTACGGTTCAATATCGATCGTTTACGCTGTTATTAGAACAAGGTGAACGTTTGATTTTTCAAAATTTATTTTTTTTGCATAAAATAAAAATTACTCATCCACGATATCGTGTATTTTTTCCTACATAATTTTCATAAATATTCTTATGTGCTGTTATGTTGTAAAAAAAATTTGAACAATGAAAAGAATATTATTTTGAAATTTTTGAAATTATTATATTGTTTTTTAGGGTACATGTAGAGCACGGTGCAGACAGAAAGTATAGAGTTAGAATACAAAAGTTTCCGATGTTTTTAGTTCAATTTAAAATTCGTGGAAGCGTATAATTCAATCGTGCTGCTTGACAAAGTTGCTGATAAACGGCGCGAGAAGTGCGAGGTCCGCGAAATGCTTCTCTGTATAATACCTATCGAATGGCCTAAGTCATTTTGAGTTTTTGCGCTGGATCAAATTTTTCATCGCTCGTCAATCCATTCTCCTGTAACTTTCATCGAGCGACGCCCGACTATCGCACACTTTCTCGCGCAAAACTATTTTTCTCATCGGTTAGTATAAATACTTTTGTATTAAAAACCACTTGTAAATAAAAACCGCCTTTTATTAAATAAAAAAAGGAAAAAAAATATATTAATAATACAATATAACATTTCGAAACCGTGAGTTTAAACAATCGATATCCTTTCTATGAGCCGCCTAAATGGCATAAACAATCCGAGGATATTCAATATTAATTATACAATTAATTTACGTGGCGTGAATAGAACGCGCCCTTCCGCTCGTACGAAATCGACCACCATTCGAACGTCGACAATATGTGATATTCGGTTTTCGGTGTACAATGGCTTTTAAAAATAATTTATTAAATTCGAAGTCCAATCGACCGCGCAGTAAATCATCGGAACACGGGACTGTTTTAATTTTCCCATGTTCGTTTTGATAGATATATCGAAACAATTTAGCTAACGCTCTAATGGGTTCGTATTGTTGGTCGGGCCAGAGCAGCGAAAAAATTATTCGATCAAACATCTAAATCATTGGACATCCCGTCGAAATCCATGAAACTCATTGTGCGCAATTCCGTATAAATTAAATACACGGTAATGCATTGGTTACCGGCGGCTACGCGGGCAACCGGTAGCGTATAAAAATAAATTCTGAAACTTTCTTCGGGAACATTAAAGGTACCCGCTACGCTCCCGTTATTACAATTTTACAGGCCACAGAATAGCCCAGGACCCTTTAATTTACGTTCATTCAGAAAGTCTTTCTTTCATAAACAATAGAAAATATTGGCCCACACATCTCTTTTGCAATCAAACTAAACACAAACGAATGTACATAATGTATACGTTATATAACAATCAGTGGAAATGAACATGTTCAGCTCCTTCACAATATTTGTTCTAACCAAGTATTCCTAAATTGGATTTTCCTCTTATTTTTCCATTAAACAGTGTCTTCTTTTTCATTGAATTATTCACTAGAAATATTAATTCGCTTCAAAACGTCGGGTTCGAAACGCTCGAACTGGGCACGGAAATGAGAGAGGGGCACTGGCGTGGTGGGAATACAGCCCTGGGTACCGTGCCGTCGTGCTAGAGTGCAGGTGGGCCGAGGTCCAACGGAAACGGCCGAGCGCGCGCTCGGGGGAAAACCGAGCGGCGGCACTCGGCGAGTACTGTTGTCAGAGTATTCAGTAATGCTTTGCATGGCCAGCCAGTCGCTAGTAGGCTCGTCGGTGAGAGTCGTGTCGTTCACTCGAAGTGATCGTGTGGTGTTACTCGACGAGCCAGTCAGGAGACGGTGTATACTGAAACCCAAGGTATAACCTAACGGCGACGAGATATATCCGCAATCGTGAGTGCATTTCGTGAGACTGTGAAAGAGAATACGAACAAAGCGTATATATGTAAAAACGGAGCGTACACCGACGGTGGAGCTTCGATTTCACGTACTGTTTCTTCACTGAAAACAAAAAACCATCGCGCTACACTGTGTATGGTACGCAAGCGGTCCAAGATGCTGTCGTCAGTGCCAGCGAAATAATAATGTGGTGCGACGTTGGTCAGGTGAGTGAAGTGCTACGTCAATTTCTTTCCTCGCATACTATTTTTTTTTTTTTAATTTTCTTTCTAAAAAACTGTGCCCGGCCTGTGCTCGCTTTGCCTCTAACGTTCCTGTACGACCAGCCAAGAAAGCGTTACGTGAACTCGATACTACGGTTACGGAACGGCATATAAGTGTGTCCGTTCTCTGTGAAAATCCAAACCCAGTCTCGGTTTTTCGGTTCGGTGTTACACCATCGGGGGAATTCACCCACCGATTTATGCATCATCGTGCATACGTATACCAAGTGTTTCAGTGTGTGATTTTCCTTGTCTCCTGAGTTTCTTTGGATACGATCGTTGTTCTTTGCATCGGACGACAGAAGCGAACGGTTCTCGTTCGCGTAACGCCTTGCACGGCTGGCGCACACGAACGGGCAGGAACGACTACAAACCTCGTCGAAACTTTACCCAAAATATCTCTTATGATACTCGTCTCAGGGGTATATCATTTGATTCATCGATAGGGTCTCGATTGATCGTTACATCTACGAAGTAAATCCCCGAATACCCATCCGTCGCCACAAAAATTTGACCGCCGACCATTCTTGAACTGCGTATCTGAGCGAAAAAAAAACCATAAACATAGGCCCGGTTGCTTTCTCTTTGTCCCGTCGATTCTGGATGTTCTGTCACCAGTTTCGGGCGGACTTCGAACGATTCCATCGTGTCCCCGTGAACTCGAGTCCTGTTACAAACGATCGTGTATAATCGGTACATAAAAATCCCCGAAGTTTCACGTAGCAGATTATGTGTTCGACGCCGGCTAGAAAACGATGCCGCGATGCATCGACGTCGTGGCGAAGTGTCAGATTTGACGCGTGGTAACCTCGTGTTCAGTAGTTTGAATTCGAAGCGATCCCGCGTTTCCTTGGGCTTGGGGACCAGCGGCGGCAGGGGGGAGGGAGAGGGTGGTGACGGCAGGCAGAACAGGCGGTGGTGGCGGAGGAGGAGGAGGAGGAGGTAGTAGGACGGTGGCCGCTGGCTGGATTGTGGTGATGGCGAGGCCGAGGGGGTGATTGAGGTGGCTGTGGTAACGACGGTGGGTCGTGGGTCGCCGGTATGTAGAGGGGAGGGGAGATAGAGAAAGAGACCGCTATAGAGAAGGAATAAGGGGCCGACTGCGAGAGACGTACATATAGAAGGACGGGGAATAGAGAAAGAACGAGCGCGACGGTGCGAGGGAGAGAGGAATAGAGAAAGGTGACCGGAGGCTCCGAGGCTGCCTCTTCTTTACTTGGCCAGCGCTGTGGAGGAAACCTAGCGTCGTCACGGCGCTGGTGAGGAGCAAGGAGAAGGGTACGAGTTTGCTAAGTGGCGGGGTGGGGGGAGCACGGTTATGACCAAGCATCAAGGGGGGCAACGTCGTCATGGTTACCGCGACGACAACAACCCGTCTGTTCTAAGGGATGTTTTTAAAAGCATATATTTGCTTTTTGCTCTTTTTTTTCTTTCTCTCCTTGACGATCGCGTGGACGCGATAGGAACGATTTTTCTTTACCCTTGTACAATATTCGATGGTTTTCCTTGCGGCCGAGTAACTCATGATTCGGTTTCTACCTATTACAGAAAACGCCGGAGACAAACGTGTCGTGATCAGATATTGATAAAGTTGCGAAAATTCATATTCCATTCGGCGAACCCTCTCTTCGCTACCATCGGTTAGATGGAAATAGTGTTTCTGTGGAGGAGGATCGGGCCCGTATTTCGTTGATCGAATTTCAAATGGTGGATCCTTCGTTTATCGGACCTCGACAATATTCGAAATAGTTCATGCCAGTGAAATACCAACGTTGAGTCGCCAGAAATCCCCATGCTTGCGTCACAATTGTACAGAGCCGACGGGGTGTCAGTCACTCGAGTCTGTGACGGAAATATTTTTAGTAGCTTATTGTTTCGTACAATAGGATTGTGGGATACAGGACTTTCGAACTTTCGACAGTGGATTACGGTGTGGTTATAGATGCTCCAACGATGTGTTCTTCTTGACTCCGATTTCTCGACCGGTTAAACTTTCGTTTTTGGCACCGAAATGATCGCAAAGTTTCAATATTCTGTTGGTAATAAAAATTTAAGTGAATTTACATTGCGACAATTAAACCGTGTGAATTAGGGAGTCGAGCCAAGGCGTCCGACGGATGGTTGCAACGGGTGTGTTCTCCTAGCTGGTCAGCGATTTTTCATTGATTTTCCAAATTCGTCTACAGAATTTCGTTCATCGTATTGATTGTTCTTCGTAAGAACTTCGGTCGCTCGTACGATAAGGTAGAAGTATCTTTTCTAGTGACAGATAATACTTTGTAGTGTTATGTAAGTGGATATTTCCTTCAGTAACGCTTGAGCGATCGATCGTTCGTAGCAGACGTGTAATTTCGTTGGCTAGTGTATTAGCAAAATCGGTCATTTTTTTTTTTTTTTTAAAGAATCAAATATATTTTCTATGCATCTTCTCACATAACTCCCATCGAGACCTGATGATGGTACATTTGAGTGGAATCAAAGTGTTCAAAATTCAAGTTACTATAGAGTGCATAAGGTGTTCCAGAATTCTTCAATTTCTTTGTAGCTCCATATTTACAGAATATATCGTTCTTATTCCTCATCGTAGAGCACATTAGCACAGTTTCATCTTGAGTTATCCTCCATAGCCAGTTCTTTAGTTCTCTCTACATCGTGACTAAATAGTATTAATCTTCACCCGACTGTTCATTGCATTACCTGTAAATGTTCTTTACAATCTCATTCTGCAAGTCTCATGATAAGAGTACACCATACGCCACCCAAGTCGGAACAATCTTCTACCCCTTCCCCCAATACACCATCCATATCGGTGGCTTAAAAATTCTACATAATACGCAATATCACAGGAACATTTAATTCAATTAGTGCTTCAGAGGTAATTCCATTACCGTGCCCCTATCAAATACTCGATACATAACCAATCAAAATCATCACAGAAAACCCATGCACTACAGTTGAATTCGTGAAAATACGAATTTCACGTGTGTCCAGGGGTTGCTCGGGACATAGTTTCGCGTGATACCTCTCGAAACGATTAGTCTCATCGGGCCAGAACAAAGACTCGTTACGATGACCCACCGGCGTGTGCGATCGAGAGTACCGACGGCATAAAGCGAGTCCGAGTTTCCCCCGTTTTGCCCTCCTTCCTTCGTCTGTCTTCCTCCTCCACCGCCGCCACCAGCAGCACCTCCTCCACTTGGTCGTCGTCGTTCTCCTGCGGCGCATCGAGCCGCTCACCCACCATCACGGGCCATTAACGAGAGAGTTATCGACGCGCGATCTGTCAATAGGCTTCTCCCATTCATAAATTCGCCTGGCGTGTGGCCGCCACCGCCGCATAGTTTTGCCCGCGAAAACCACGTGGCCGCGGCCGGCGATGGCGCGCAACGTCCTCCGTTGCACACACCGCAACGAGCGGGGGGGCTCACCAGATCTATGTGATTTACGGTCCGCCTTGTCCCCCGTTTTAAATGCACGCGGAGCAACCCGTGTGCGCGTCCGTCCGTCTGTGTATATGTCCCTTTCTCTCCTCCGCCCCCCCCCTCCTCGCTCTGTGCCAAACGCAATCGCCTCGCCACAGGTCCGTCTATCTGTCCCTCCTCTGGGTGTACACACGTGTATTACGGTGTACACATGGACCCCGAACCCGTGACCAGCGTGGGAGTCACGATGCCTTCGTAGAACCCGGTCTCACGCTGGACCGCCTCTCGGTTGGCCCACGAGGAGCCCAGTCGGAACTTTGTCCCTGGATCTTTCTTTTGCTAAACGGACAACAGTCTTGTCGCGAACGTTCCGTGAATATATTGACCTTCCCTTGCCTATTATACCTAGAAAATAGTCCGTTTAACGCGTTACATTCGTGTGGCCAACGAGTGGTTGCTATTCGGTTGTATCCAATTATGGATTTTACTGCTGGCCCGAGGATGAATGGATACATGGAGTGTTCAGTATGTGGTACTAAAGGTTCTCCAAGTGCTTGGAAGCACTCGATTTCTCTGAGCACTCTTAATTTGTATGCTGAAATGTAATGTTTCTGAAACGCATACTCTCTTGGAATACGACACGAGGATTTTTACCGTAATAGATTCTGCAACATAATAGTTCCGTTGATTAACTTAACGATGATTGTACAGCTTTGTAATTTCCCTTGAATATTTTCTGTTTCTTCGAGCACACAATATTTCAAGCGGTGGCTTGCTACATTCCCGAATACAGTACAGGAATTTCTGAATTGATCTAAATACAGTCAATCTTGGATGAGTATTCGGAGGCACTGACAATGGAAAGGTCCTCAAATGTAACAATAATGTTCAGCACGTTTCATTTCAACCGTACATAGCCATTAGTTTAAGAAATATTTAATGTCCAATGCCGCGGAGCCTTCGAACACTCATCGAAGATTTGATGAATACCGAAACTTCACAACACTGATATTTCTTTCCGCTGAATTTTGATCTAGTAACCAAAGGAAGGAAACTTCTTGGCGTTCTTAACACGGCAACTTCCGAGTCGATCGGGCGCCTGAACACTTCGAAAGATAACAGAGAGTGATGCTCTGTGTATTCAGTAGTAGCGGTGTAAATATGTATGCACATAAACTCGACGGTTACCGGTGTGTTTCTACGATGCGACATCCGCAAACTGGACGGTCCCGCGCTCGGATTCCGACCTACGGCACTGTTTGGCGTTCGACTGATAACATCGGTGAATCACGAATTACGAATGTTACGCGCCGCGCGTCTGGCATCTCCCGCCTCTCTGTCCCCCTTCGATGCAAAGACACACACCGGACGAAAGCACGTGGTGGCGGTGGCGGCGGGTCGTACACGCGCATGCAACCTCGCATTGCACTCGACGGCCCGTTTTGTTTACGTTACCCGCCCGGCGAGGCGGCCGCCTCCCACCGCGATTGAAAAATTCGTAGCCGGCCGGGACGCGTGTCA